TACATGATTATTCCCCGGTTTATGATATAATTTTTTTTCATGACACTACAATAGTTGTTTTAGTTTTTATTACTGTGTTGATTTTTTTTATTATAGTAAGATTTGTTTATAATAAATTAATTAATCGTTATCTTTTGGAAAACCAACCAATTTCAATTGTTTGGACTGTAGTTCCTATGTTTATTTTAATTTTTATTGCTATTCCCTCTATTAAAATTTTATATATTGCTGATGAGGTTATAGGTAGTAATTTAACGGTTAAGGCGATTGGGCATCAGTGGTATTGAAGTTATGAGTATTCAGATTTTTTAAATATTGAGTTTGATTCTTTTATGATTCCTAGGGATCAGCTTGAGTTGGGTGGCTTTCGTCTTTTGGATGTCGATAATCGGTGTATTTTGCCATTTAATTATTCTATTCGTATTTTAACTACATCAATGGATGTGATCCATGCGTGAACTGTTCCTTCCTTAGGTATTAAAGTAGATTCTACCCCAGGGCGCCTAAATCAGGCGCAAATTTGACTTAGGCGCCCTGGGGTATACTTTGGTCAGTGTTCTGAGATTTGTGGCATTAATCATAGGTTTATGCCTATTTCTATTGAGTCTACTAGAATAATTAATTTTAAAAAATGGTTAATTAGGTTTTAATTGAATTTATTTGGTTGAATTTAGTTGTGAATATATTGTTGATTTTTATTAATTTGTTGTGGTTTATGATCATTAAATGACTGATTAAAAGTATTGATTTTTTAAATCAAATTATAATAGTGTAATGTCTATTTGTAATGATGAAAAGAATTAGTTTTTATTTTAAAACATTAGATTGTCAATTTAAAAATATTAATTTATTAATATTCTTTTATTCCTTAAATAATACCTTTAATTTGAATTATGATGCTGATATTTTTAGTTATTTTATTATTGGTTATTATGTGTATTATTTATTTTTTTTATTTTCCTAATTTTATTGTTTGTGATTTTTCCGTTCGAAAAAAGAAGACTATGGCTTTGGCAATGATAGTAAATTTATTTTCTATTTTTGATCCTTCAACTTCTTTTTATACTTCTTTTAATTGATTGGGAATGGTTATTTTTTTATTTTTGATGCCTTATCAATTTTGGGTTGGTCAGTCTCGTTTTGTCTTCTTGTGGGATTATTTTATTAAATTTATGTATATTGAGTTTAAGATTTTAGTTCATTATTCTTTTTCAAATTTAATGGTTTTTGTTAGTTTAATTATTTTAATTTTTTTTAATAATTTTTTAGGGCTTTTTCCTTATATTTTTACTTCTTCTAGACATATGAGGTTTTGTTTATCTTTGTCTTTAAGTATTTGAGTTGGGTTGGTTTTATACTCTTACTAATTATTTAAGAGGTTTTTTGTCGCATCTTACTCCCATGGGAACTCCCTTTGTTCTTATGCCTTTTATGGTTATTATTGAATCTATTAGGTTAATTATTCGACCTATTACTTTGTCTATTCGTCTTGCTGCCAATATGATTGCTGGTCACTTGCTTTTATCTCTTTTAGGTTTATCGGGAGCTGGTTTGAGGAGTTTTGTAATATTGCTTGTATTAGTTGTAGCTCAGTTAATATTGTTTGTTTTGGAGATTTTTGTATCTTTAATTCAGGCTTATGTATTTTCTATTCTTTCGGCTTTGTATAGAAAGGAAGTTTAATTTTGGTTTTTTGTTTTATATTAATTTCTTATGACGGCGGTCCGATAAGTACTTAGCCTACAAAAGAAAAACGAAAATTTTGGAAAAGTGGCGATTTATTTCTCAACATAGTCTCCTTTTAGCTCGATACACTTGACCCAGCGATGCTTCTTTAACCCGTCTGAAAAATACGTTTTCTCGAAGTCTGCAAAGTAGGCCTTTTGGCGGCGATGACCTCCTCATTCGACTTAAATTTCTGCCCGGCGAGTGACTTTTTCAAGTTCGGAAACAAAAAGAAGTCGCACGGGGCCAAATCTGGAGAATACGGTGGATGGGGCAGCAGCTCGTAGCCTAATTCGATCAATTTGGCCGTGGCGACGGCGGAGGTGTGAGCCGGAGCGTTGTCATGGTGGAAGAGCACTTTATTCTTCGCCAAATGGGGCCGTTTTTTCTGCAATTCAGCATCGAATCGGTCCAATAATTCGGCATAGTAGAGCCCTGTGATCGTTTTGCCCTTCTCTAGATAGTCGATGTAGATCACACCTTGTGAATCCCAGAAAACGGTGACCATCACCTTTCCGGCCGATAGGACAGTCTTCGCCTTCTTCGGAGCACGTTCGCCGGGTGAAGTCCACTGTTTCGACTGTTCCTTGGTCTCTGGTGTGTACCAGTGGATCCATGTTTCGTCGACGGTCACGAAACGACATAGAAACTCCTTCGGATTGCGCTTAAACAGCGTCAAACACTGCTCTGAAGTGGTCTCACGGTTGCGCTTGTTGTCCGGAGTGAGCAAACGCGGCACCCATCGCGCCGACAGCTTTTTCATGCCCAAAATTTCATGCAGGATATGACCCACGCGGTCTTTTGAGATGCCTACTGTCTCAGCTAGCTCGCGCACCTTCAACCGGCGGTCTGCCAATACAAGATCGTGGATTTTTGTCACGTTATCCTCCGTGGTAACCGTTTTCGGGGCACCTGGACGTGGCTCATCAAAAACCGACGTGCGACCACGTTGAAACTCGTTAAACCAATTTTTGACGATCGCCATCGAAGGAGAAGAGTCACCGTACACAGCATCCAAGCGATCTTTGATTTCGCTGCGCGATTTCCCTTCCAAAAACAAGAATCGAATCACCGACCGATATTGCTCTTTTTCCATTTTTCTAAAATCCGCGGATACGCCCGCTTCCACACGCGGTCAAAACAAAACTCCGAGTCCGATTCGGCTGAAATTTTGACAGTAGCCGTCTACGAGAATGTACTACACGTTAGTAAATTTCTCTTGCGATAGTGGCGCCATCGGGCGTTGAGGCTAAGTACTTATCGGACCGCCCTCGTAAATATAATCAAAATCATTCTTTTCATTTAGTTACTAGTCCGTGGCCTATTCTAATTTCTTTTAGTATTTTTAATAATTTAATTTTTATTATTAGGTGATTTCATAATCTTATTAATTTTATGTTAATTATGTCCATTCCTGGGACTTTAGCTTGTATGTATTTATGGTGGCGGGATATTTCTCGAGAGGCTTCTTATCAGGGGTGTCATTCTGTTAATGTTGTTGCGGGGATGAAAATTGGAATGATTTTATTTATTGTTTCGGAGGTTTTATTTTTTTTTTCTTTCTTTTGGGCTTATTTCCATTCAGCTCTCGCTCCTAGAGTTGAGATTGGTGTGACCTCCTAAGGGCATCTATCCTTTTAATCCTTTTAATATTCCTCTAATAAATACTATTATTTTGGTTTCCTCTGGATTGACTATTACGTGGTCTCATTATTCTCTTATCAGAAATGATGTGTTGGAGAGTAAAAATAGGTTAATAATAACTACTTTTAAAGAGGTTTATTTTTCCTGTCTTCAATTGTTTGAGTATATTAACGCTTCATTTACTATAGCGGATTCTGTTTATGGTTCAACTTTTTTTATTTCTACGGGTTTTCATGGGATTCACGTGATTGTTGGTACAACGTTTTTGGTTGTTTGTTTAATTCGTTTATTAAGTATGCATTTTTCTTTTTATCATCATTTTGGATTCGAGGCTGCCTCCTGATATTGGCATTTTGTTGATGTTGTATGGTTATTTTTATATATTTTTATTTATTGATGAAGCTTTTAAATTTATTTAATTATTATTTATATAGTATAATAATAATTACATTTAATTTCCAATTAAAAGATTTATTTTAATAAAATTTAATATAAGTGATTGTTCAGTTGGTGTGTGTATTTGTGGTTGTTATTTTAATTTCTTTTTTTTTATTTGTACTTAATTTGATTTTTTCAAAAAAAGTGGCTGTAAGGCAGGAGAAGATATCTCCTTTTGAATGTGGATTTAACCCTATTTCCTGCTCTCGAATGCCCTTTAGGATTCAATTTTTTACTATTAGGTTAATTTTTTTAATTTTTGATATTGAAATTGCTCTTTTATTACCCTTGGTTTACTTATTGTTGAATTTTAATCCGTACGTTATTGTTTATTCATTTGTGTTTTTGTTTATTTTGATTGTTGGATTGTATTTGGAGTATAATGAGTATTCTATGGATTGAAAACTTTAATGGTAGTGTGTATATTTTTATTTTTGGATTAATTTTTTTAAATTAATAATTATTATTTATTTTAATTATTACATGTGTGGTGGGTTTTATTCTATGGTTTTTAAGATTTAGTTTGTGCTTTTTGTTTTGTGGGTATTAGTTTAAAAATTTAAAGAACATTTTAATTGCATTAAAAAAGTATATTTCTATAATGTATATCTAATGGTGAAGTTTGAGTATTATTCTTAAAGTAATTTTTACACTTTAATTTCGAATTAAACATGGATTTTTTTAAAATCTGAGAATTTGGGTTTGTTGGATGATAGATAAGGGGCAGGGTAAAGTAAATTAGGCATTAATTAACTAAAACCAAAAGAGAGGTGTATTATTGTTAATAATATCATTGAACTGATTTATATATTTCTAGTTGAAGTAAGTAGAGATGGACTTCTAATTCATTATTTATGAAATTTTTCATATTACTTTTTAAATATAGTTTATAAAAACATTATATTTTCATTATAAAAATAATAAAGGGGGTTTTATTTATTTAAAAATTTTAGTTAATTTTATTAATATCTTCAATATTATGCTTTAATATAAGCTATTTAAATTCATTAAAATCATATGTATAGGTAAGTTCTTGTGTAGATAAAGATGAATATAAATATGTGTAGTTTGTATGAGGTGTTTATAGTTTTTTTTTTTATAAATTTTATTACTATATTTTTACTTAGGAATTCCATTCAGGTTTTGTCTAGGTCTCGAACGTTAGTTCTTACGTAAATAACAGGTTGGTAGATTCAAGTGTAAGTGTTGGCTAGGAACCATATGGAATTAATAAAATTTAGGTAGTAAGGTAAGCTGCAATATTTATTTAATTTAATTAATTTAGATATAATTGTTAGTGTTAGCATTCTGGTAATTACCCTTACTAATGAATATATTAAGGTCCTAAGTTTTTCATGTTGAGTTATGTAAATTAAGTAGTAGTCAAAGAAGAAGGCTCAGTTTATTAGGGATCCGATGGAGACTCTTAATAATATTATGATTATTATAGATAAATTAATGGTGTAATTTTCTTTGATATATATATATATATACCTATAAAATTTTATTGTTTTGTTAAAGAATAGGTAATATGTGAAACGAGTTGAGTATGTAATGGTTAGCATTAAGGATATGATAATTAATATTAATGTTAGTACGTTAATGGTTCTATTTGTGTACACGTTTTCTATGATTAGATCTTTTCTATAGAACCCTGAGAAAAATGGGGCCCCTCTTAGGGCTAAGTTGGAGATTAGTAGTCTTATTATTGTGAACGGTATGGTTTTGTTTATGTTTCCTAACGATCGGATATCTTGATTGTTTTTTAAAGAATGAATGATGGATCCTGCTGATATGAATAATATGGATTTGAAAATGGCATGAGTTAAGAGATGGTAAAATGCTAATATACATTGGCCTAAACTTAAGATTATTATTATTAGTCCTAGCTGTCTTAGGGTTGATAGGGCAATGATTTTTTTAAAATCATTTTCAAAATTTGCCATTAATCCTGCTATAAATATTGTAATTACTGAGATGAGACATAAGGATGTGTTGATATTAGATGATATAAGGAACTTTTGGAATCGAATCATTATGTACACCCCAGCGGTTACTAGAGTAGAGGAGTGTACTAGAGCGGATACTGGGGTGGGGGCAGCTATAGCTATTGGTAGTCATACTGAGAAGGGAATTTGGGCTCTTTTAGTGATGGTGTTACCGACCTGAGTGTTTTATTACGTTCGATATGCTTACTACTTGTTGTATATTCTATTAGGAATACGGTCGCCACTTCGTTTGACCTCCAACGAAGAAGGAAGAGCCGTTCCGTCGCCAGCGGTGGACGTCCTCTGCGATGTAGCGTCTGGGATCCTCTCTCACCCTGTAGGAACTTTGGCTGGGATTTTTTCAGTAATTCGATTAGCACACACGATTAGTAATAATGTATTTTAATTAATAAAGCAATTGTACATTTGTTTCGCGCACTCGGAACACGTAGAGATGTGACGCACTTTTCCGGACGCTATTTCTCTTAAATTAAAATAAATCGAGGATTGATTTTTACGTGAGGGTCTTATATTATTGTTAAATAAAGTATTAAACGTGTAACGCGCGTCCGCGGAGTCCTCTGAAACGAATTACGTCAGTATGACGCAATATCACGCGACGACACACGCGTGGACACGTCCGTTCAGTATGGACGGCCAAGAGCGACTGGTGGCGTTGTCGTCCTTCCCGAGCGAGTCGGCCACCTTGGCATCTTTATCCCCTCCAACTGTCTCCGACCAATCCCGAGATTCGTCCTTCGAGCGGCCGGATCGCCTTTCTCTTTTGGAGGAAGGGACTCAGAGCCGCACTCACTTAGAATCTCCCCTTTACTTTATTCGGAAAATTCCTTTTATAAAATTATATCGAGTTTTATCTCGATCAGCTGTTTGAGCTGTGATATATATATTATTTAATTCGGAGATTCTAAATAAGTGCTTCCTTAAGATATTTACTCTCTTTAACTTAACTTAAAATTAATATTACATAAATTCAACCTGTATTAAATACAACATAAAATATATTATTAGAGAATTAAATCAAACATGAGAATTAACTAGCAACTTATATGTACGCTTGTATCTTTTACTTTATATGACATTTATATGTCTTTTATTAAACTATTCTTACATCTCATATTTGATATATCTGAGTAAACACCTTTTTTATAAACAACTTAAATTTTAACTTTTCTTTTTCTTTCAGGTACTTGGCAATTTCCCTGGTGATTCGTCAATGACTCAAGCTCACATAAATGAATCGAACAACGGTTAACTTATTTCTACGGTATAATATGGTAAGTATAAAATATAAATATAATAAATAAAATAACACTTTCTCAACTAATTTTCTCATTTTTGTTCCGCAGGAATTCTAATCTCTTGTGAATACCCGCGCGAAGCTACTTTTCTCATTTAAACGCTTTCGCATCCAGAGAGCTCAGTAAGAGTCTCTTTCGTCTCGCTAATCGACTTTTTACGAGATTACTTAATTTGACACGTCTCAAGGACGTGAATAAATTGCATTATGGAATTTAATTGTCTCTGATAGACAATAGGTGTATTTTACACCTTCTTCGATCTTTATCGAAGATTTATGTCACATTACGGATATTTATGATCTCGTAATGGAAATTAACCAACTCATGAGCTTTTATAACTCTTAATGAGTTGTTTTCAGCGCAACACGTAGTTTTTAGGTTCTTTATGTAATAATTATAAATTTATATATGTTAAAAAATCAAATAAGTCGGAATGACTGTTTCTAATGTTTTTATGGTGAATAAATGAATTTTTGAACCTTTTTGTATTTTGATTATTATTTCGTGTGTTGACGCTTTTAAACCTGTTAAAATTATATTTTATTAATTGAGCTCCTGACGGCTCTATTTAGCTCTAATGAAGCTGCGACTAATTTTAGTCTGTTGTAATGCGTTTACGCAATTAATATAAATTATCCTGACTTTGAAAAAAAATAGTAGAATAGAAGAGTGAGCTAATCTCTTATTAGAATGAGCTTGTATTATTGCTCCAAGTTGTTTATTATATTTATTGGCATCTTTGGCCTCTGAAATGCTAAATGTATTATTATGTATTATTAATATTAATTATATGTAAGGATATCTTTGTAAAACGTTTATTTATAAACTATTTCTAGAATACTTATATATTATTGTGTTATTTACAATGTTTGTGTGTGTTATATTATTATATACGGGGTGATTTTAATAGTGTGGGAGGGCTCTTCGGGCGTCTTCTCCCTTTGATACGTCATCCGGCTGGTCCGCGTTTGCAGTGTGGCAACCGGGCTTCCCCGTTATTAACATCAAATTAACAGAATTTAACTTGGCGCCACAATTGTTGATATCAAATCTTTTATACAGATGATATATACATCATTAGATATTTAGTAAATTTTGTGATATCAAATTAACAGAATTTAACTTGGCGCCACAATTGTTGATATCAAATCTTTTATACAGATGATATATACATCATTAGATATTTAGTAAATTTTGTGATATCAAATTAACAGAATTTAACTTGGCGCCACAATTGTTGATATCAAATCTTTTATACAGATGATATATACATCATTAGATATTTAGTAAATTTTGTGATATCAAATTAACAGAATTTAACTTGGCGCCACAATTGTTGATATCAAATCTTTTATACAGATGATATATACATCATTAGATATTTAGTAAATTTTGTGATATCAAATTAACAGAATTTAACTTGGCGCCACAATTGTTGATATCAAATCTTTTATACAGATGATATATACATCATTAGATATTTAGTAAATTTTGTGATATCAAATTAACAGAATTTAACTTGGCGCCACAATTGTTGATATCAAATCTTTTATACAGATGATATATACATCATTAGATATTTAGTAAATTTTGTGATATCAAATTAACAGAATTTAACTTGGCGCCACAATTGTTGATATCAAATCTTTTATACAGATGATATATACATCATTAGATATTTAGTAAATTTTGTGATATCAAATTAACAGAATTTAACTTGGCGCCACAATTGTTGATATCAAATCTTTTATACAGATGATATATACATCATTAGATATTTAGTAAATTTTGTGATATCAAATTAACAGAATTTAACTTGGCGCCACAATTGTTGATATCAAATCTTTTATACAGATGATATATACATCATTAGATATTTAGTAAATTTTGTGATATCAAATTAACAGAATTTAACTTGGCGCCACAATTGTTGATATCAAATCTTTTATACAGATGATATATACATCATTAGATATTTAGTAAATTTTGTGATATCAAATTAACAGAATTTAACTTGGCGCCACAATTGTTGATATCAAATCTTTTATACAGATGATATATACATCATTAGATATTTAGTAAATTTTGTGATATCAAATTAACAGAATTTAACTTGGCGCCACAATTGTTGATATCAAATCTTTTATACAGATGATATATACATCATTAGATATTTAGTAAATTTTGTGATATCAAATTAACAGAATTTAACTTGGCGCCACAATTGTTGATATCAAATCTTTTATACAGATGATATATACATCATTAGATATTTAGTAAATTTTGTGATATCAAATTAACAGAATTTAACTTGGCGCCACAATTGTTGATATCAAATCTTTTATACAGATGATATATACATCATTAGATATTTAGTAAATTTTGTGATATCAAATTAACAGAATTTAACTTGGCGCCACAATTGTTGATATCAAATCTTTTATACAGATGATATATACATCATTAGATATTTAGTAAATTTTGTGATATCAAATTAACAGAATTTAACTTGGCGCCACAATTGTTGATATCAAATCTTTTATACAGATGATACATATATCATTAGATTTAATAAATTTTGTGATATAATGATTTTCATGTAATGATTTTTGAAGAGAAATAAAGTCATTATAATGATGGTTCTACACGAGTAAATAACATCTTAATCTACATCGTAAATGTATGTTGCTTATTATATATTTTTGGTATTTTTCTTTAAAAATAATATAGAAATATCTTTAGCACCTCTAGGCCATTGTCTTTTTATAACTTACACATCATCAATTTCAATCCAAGATATTCCTTCTCGACACATACTTGTATAATGACCTTCTTCGACACATGAACCATAATGAAATATAGCATTCATAACTTTGTATGTCTGTCCAGCTATTAATATTTTCGTTGTCGGAACAGCACGTAAACTAAATTTGTGTGGTATCTTTACTAACTTACCATTCTCTGAAATAAAAGATATTAAGTGAATAATAAGTACCTCTTTTATCGAAATTAATTCACTTTTAAATAATATATCATTTCTTCCACAACGTTCACATAATTTATCAAACGACTGACACCAATGTAATGAAAATGTAATTTTTAATAAATCATCCAGATTATAACTTTTCTTCTTTAAATTATTAATAGAAATTGAAAGTAAAATATTAGTATTAGTAATAATTTTCGTATCACCACACGAATTGCATCGAGAAGTGTAAGTAACTTGATGTTCTACCATATTTTTTATATAATCATATTTTGTACAAAGAGCTGTAAGAAATTCTAAAGCATCTCGTTTGATAGCAACCGAAAAATATTCCCCTAAAGATTGCCGTATTTCATAGGTATTCAAATTATTCATTCCATGTTCACATCGATGTGCAAACAAATTTAAAACATCAGGTTTATGGTAATTTAATAATAGCTTTCTGGAAACATCTAAATTCAATAAACATTGCAATACTGCATTCGCATAGCATGAAACTTTGTCTGTATTTTGAAAACCACGTATATTCCAAGCAGTACTTTTTAACGGAACTTTTTGACCCGATTCTTGAACGGAGGAAATCATTTTCGACAATGTCCACGAAACATCTTTAACGATAACACTGTTTTGAAATAGTGATCATTTCTGATTCTGAATTATGTATTCGTTTCAATCTATTATATTCTATAATAGCTTTTTCACTAGCAAACAAGGATGAAGGATCAAAATTAATTAAATGCAGTCTATCAAGAGATGTTACTCGAGATAATGCAACATAAGCCTGACCGCAACTAAATACATTGTTACCTAGATCCATAACAGCATTTTGTAAACTCAAACCTTGACTTTTATGAATGGTAATACCATAACTCAAACATAATGGAAATTGTTTTCTGATAACATAAATTCTATCCATCAATGGAAACTTAACACTTACTCTTTCAATAAAATACTCTAAACCAGACGGTAAAAGAATTTTTATCTTTTCTATAGTTTTATCCTGCATAACTGATATAACTGTAGCAATTGTACCATTTACAAGACCCAAACTAGCATCAATATTACGTCTTATCATAACTTTCGCTCCAATTTTAATTGTAATTCGTTTTGAAAGTCCAGCTGTTCTAGTATCATCATCGTCAATATTTGACAATACCTTTGTTACTTTTTTTTTCATATATGAAATACAATCAATCGTATCTTCAGCAATTAAAAGTATTTCTTTTGAAGTAATACGACTTAACATTGCAGCGTTTAATTCGTTACACATGTGACAAGTAGGTAACAAACAAACAGTATCAGATAAATTATTAATAAAATCGCATAATTCGTTTAATCTTGTTTCAAAAGACTCATCTTTAAAAGATATTTTTTTTTTTTCAAGAATATCATAATCAGATGTTAACAAACCAACGCGAATTCTGGAAAGTAATTCACGATAAGATCCGTCTTCTTGCTGGCGCATATTGATTGTCAGTTCATCATAGTCAAACAAAGTCCATAGATTAGTAGCACTTAAAGAACCAAGATATTTACGAATGTTCTCAGCTGTTAATTGTATAAAGGCAGAATCTTCATGTAAAGGAGGTAACTGAAGCAGATCTCCAAATAAAAGAATGTGCTTTTGACCGAACCAACCATCATCACAATCAATAGTATCGTATATTTCAGACAGTCGTAAGTGTATATACATAAAAATTAAATTAGATATCATTGACACTTCGTCAATTATAATAAGACTAACATCTTTAAGATCTGCTCGTAAAACTTTCAAAACATGATTAGCTAATTGCTTATACTTAGGAGAATGGCCATGCTCAACGGGTAATTGCAATAATCTGTGAACTGTCAAACCGTCTATATTAAATGCTGCTATACCAGTAGGTGCTGCTACGGCAGTATCCTTCTTGAGAATTTGTTTTAACCAACATTTAATTGTTTTAATTAAATAACTTTTGTCAGTACCTCCTTTTCCACTAACATACAATCGTAGTACTAATTCACCTGACGTTATGGTATCAATGACTCTATCAAATACTCTTCTTTGAT